CCCAGGTCGATTCCTCCCACCCACGAACCCAGGGCCGCCATCAGGTGCACCATGCACTTCGACTAACGGCTAACGCGACCCGAGTAGGACCTCCTTCTGCTGGATCGACACCCGACGTCCCAAAGCCAGCGACCCGCCGTCCCGTGACCGGCCTGCCGCGAGGCTTTGCTTCGGTCCTCTGGGCGTAGCTCCTCCTGGAGGAAGGCGGAGGAAGGCGGAGGACATCGATCCCCGTGACCGAAGCCTCAGTGACCGAAGCCTCGGGATCACCAAGCAGATCCTAAGGTCTTGTCTTGTCTCCAAACAAGGTCGATTGGATTCGATCTGGTTTCTTTCGCACATCATGCCGGCTGAAAATCCTCTTTCAGACGAGATAACGAGATCATGTGTCAATGATGTTTATAGATGGGAAGCAGTTCCTGTTTTTGAGGCCCCCTAAACACGATTCTTTGTGGAGTCACTGACTCCCATGTAGCAAATCACCAGTTCTGGTACACTTTCGCTTGGTGTTTTCAAGACTCCTGCCGTGACATCACCCAAAAACCCCCGTTCTGGGTGCTTGGCGAAAGCGAGTGGCGGACTTAGACCCCTTTGGATTCCTGGCCCCCTCCCTGCTTTCCGTGGTCTTCGCCTACTACCTACTACCCAGAGGCGACCCTGGACCCGAACCAACTGCTACATGTTTGAGGTCCCAAACCCTGGCTGTGAGGGTCAAAACCCGAGCCTCTAGACAACCAAACGAGGTCAACGATGTGTTTAATGGATAGAACGGAAGGCCTGTTGGAAAACCAATCCGGATGCCAAACGGCAAGAGTGCAACAATCCAACTACGGTTGGGTCATCTGATTTCCCACTGTACGTTTTGTTCCCGCCAGTTTCCGTATGTCTCTGTAGTTCATCAGGATTTCTCCACTCAAAATCGTGTTGGCTCAGTTTCTTTTGGGACGGAGAAAATCTGGCGGGGGCCACAAATTCCACACGTCCGCCGGAAAGATCTCTTCAGCTCGCGCCTCCCCCGCCTCCTCCACGTCACTGATGCTCCTCGTCGGGTGGCACGGACCGGTGCAAAATCGGAAGATCCGATCTGAACATCGTTTTCTTTTTTCCGAAATCGCAATGGCCTCCGCCTCCAAATGTTTTCGATGGCTTCCTCCAGAAGGGAATATCGTATCGCGCGGTCTGCGGCTTAGCGTGTCCTGTCTTTCTGGGGGATCCTGGTGTTTGGGTTGAATGTATTTGGGCATCCGAACTCCGACACACCTCACAACGCGGGTCGTGTAGACCTCCTTCCGGTCGACAGCTGCACCTCCCTGTATACCACATCCCACCAAGGCTTTTCGACTAGCAAAGCGTGAGGAAAACTGAGGGAGACTGCTTCCAAACCAGGAGTTTTGCAAGTGGATTGCAACTTCGGCCACTGCTCCATGCAGATCCAGCATGATCAACCACTCTCCCAGATTCCATCGTGGTTTTGCAAGTGGATCCAGCATGATCCAGCTGCTTTCTGGGAGCAATGACCAACCACTCTCCCACGCTCTCGGCGACTCTGAAAATAGCGTGTCCGGTGCGGGAAAATCCCCCGTCTGATTCTTCCAATCGTGCTTTGACACCGAACATGAGTCCCAAACAAGATATCTATAATATGCCAGCACCACCCAAAGGGTGGTTTATAGACCCGCCTGACTATCTATGTTCCATCTAATAGCCACCCTTTGGGTGGTGCTGGTATTGTTTGTCTTTTATTTTCCCCCGGAAGATTAACATGGAACATCATGGAACCATGCAGTTTGTATTTATTAATCTCCCGGGGTGTACATAGAACATCAATGAACATCAATTCATCAGTACCGCTCCCATGTCGTAAGAGCGGATCTCTCCATTTCGGATCCCCACATGCACGGGTTCTCATCAAGGACCAGTCTTTTCGCATGTGTGTCTACTCTTTAAAAGGTTGATCTTCGACTAAACGCTTCACGCATCTCGGATTTATGACCTCCAGGTCACCCAAAATATGTCCGATTGATCGTTGCTACATCTCAGCAACCACTAGCATCAGCACATTCAAGCTGAGATCTTGACTCTGAGTTCCCCGCAGTCGTGCCACCCCAGAATCTGATTACACTCCGGACGGGCTCCACCCTTCCTGCCCTGCACCCCTCTTCCCCCGGACCAGGACCTGTCCTGATGGAGGTCTTCCCAGAAAAAAACGACAGATTCGTGATCTTCCTCCGTGAGTTCGTGGACTTCCTGCAGCGCGCGGGAGTGTTCTTTTTCCGTCACAAAAAAAGAGCCCTGCGACGAAGAAAACCATACGAATAGCAACATCGAGTTTGAGGTTTGTGGAGGCCATTTCTACTTTCAGGTTGGCCATCGCAGTCAAGTCATCACTTGGGGTTCCCCGTGTCGGGTGGGTCGCAGCTCAACGACGACGCTAGACCTCTCGACTGCTCCCCACTCACCTGTCAATTCCAGAGACCCCCCTCGTGCCTGTTCCGTCCACTGAACAAGAAAGAACCCCACCAGTTGGGCAGAACTGCGCTTCTTCATTCCAATTTTTGTAGCTTCGCTGTCGGGAACAAATGAACATCCAAGGAGATGCCCCTATAGCCCACCCCCCGGGTATACCGGTTTTGTGGTGCCTTTCCGCCTCTCTTGACACACTTGCAATGTGATAGGAGCGATCAATTCGCTCCCGGCGAAGACGCTCTGCCGATATCAACGGTCGTGGCCCGCGGTGGAGGTCATTCTTGGACTCCAATGCCATGTTTAGAACACCTAACTACCCACAACCACAAGTCTTCCTCAACCACGGACTTCAAATAGTTACACCAACCAGAAGACCCCGTGGCATCTCTTAAACCTCCTTCACCTCTCGAAAAATCACCGGAAAAACCGGAACCAAAGGAAAGGAGAGCGCGCGAGCGCGAGCGAACCCTCGAACCCCCCCTCCCAAGCCTCGCCTCATCGCCGGATCGAACCTGCGAAGGACTTCCTTGAGCGCGGAATGCGAGATCTTCCCATCGTAGTCCTGCCGCCGAGGAAGGCCAATGCAAGCAGGGGGACATCGCGGTGCATCGGTGTCTACTAAGCTGCGAGCGTTGTTTTGCTAAGGGGTATCCTTTCGCGACCCCGCAGGAAAAAATGAAAAAAAAATCGATTTTTGCCGTTTTTACCGCGGATATGGTAGAAGAAAAAGGGGCGCCCCCCCGGTAAAAACGGTAAAAAAATAAAAACAATTTCATTTTTACCATGTTTACCGCGGATATGGTAGAAGAAAAAGGGGCGCCCCCCCCCGGTAAAAACGGTTAAAAAATAAATAAATAAATAAAATTGATTTTTACCGTTTTTACCGCGGATATGAAATTTAAACATGGAGCGCCCCCCAGTAAAAAAGATTAAAAACAACGGTGTTTACCGTTTTTGCCACGGAGATGGTAGAAAAGAAAAGGACAAGTCCACCTACAAAAACGGAACATAACACAACATTGATTTTTACGATATGGTAGAAGCAAAAAGAGCAAGCGACTCTTCATTGAAAAAGGTAAACAGCAAAAGTAGTAATTTTCACTTTGGACCGTTTTTACCGTGAGAATGCCTCGGGACCAGATCGCAAGCTAGAAGACCTCTGTCAACAAAAACGTTTAATGTTACAGCCCGGGTATCTTCCCATAATCAGGTGAGGTTCACTCCTCCTATCATATAGGAGCGTGTGCCTTTTTCGACAAAAGGAGTTTGGTGATTGATCAAAATTTAATGACTTTTAACTTTTGCAGGGCAATGAAAGCCCACATCACTTGGATCGAAAACTTTCGATTTTTACCTACCGCGGATATGGCAGAAGAAACAGCGGTGACCCTCCGTTTAAAACGTTTAAAAAACAAAAACAAAAACATAGACCCGTTTGCCCCCCTCGATCAAAACGGCGCAAAAAGAACAACAAGTGTTTTTACCGTTTTGATCGCGAATATGGTATTGAAAAAGGAAGCGCCCCCCGGAAAAAAACGGTAAAGAAGAATCGATTTTTGTCATTTTTACCGCGGATGTGGTAAAAGAAAAAGGAGCGCCCCCCGGGAAAAATGGTTAAAAAAATAAAGTTTTGATTTTTACCGTTTTTACCGCGGATATGCTAGAAAAAAAGGGGCGCCCCCCCCCGCTAAAAACGGTTTAAAAAAAAAAAATAAGAAATAAAATTTAAAAAAACGATGTTTACCGTTTTTACCGCGGGGTGCCCCCCCGGGGAAAACGGTAAAAAAGAAATTTTTCGATGTTTACCGTTTTTGCCGCGCAGATGCCTCGGATTGACCCCGTAACCCCGGCAACTACGCTAAACCAGCACAGTCGATTCCGGTCTGAAGTAAAAGGAGCAGGGACTTGGAACACCAAGGAAGGTGCTGAACCTCACCATGTCCTATTCAATATCTTTCAGATCTGGATGGGATGACCTGGATTTCTTGGACAAACGTCTAAGCCGAACAACTGGTTCCTGTGTCGGTCCTGATCCAAAAAGGCAAAGACTCTGTGAAGCTTCTTGTCCAAAAGTGTGCGAGCATCAGCCTCCAGCTGCCTGCCGACGGAACCCCTAAAAAGCAGAGGCTGCACAGGTCAGTCCAGTCAGTCCAGTCAGTCCAGTCGTGGCTCCCTCACAAGTGGTGGATCATGACCCCCCCACAAGGTCAAATGAGTCATTGGAAGTTCTGGGTAAGGGTCGTGACGATTCTGGGGAGACTTGATTGGGGATAGACCAATTGGAAATCCCAAAAAAAGGCAGGGTCAGACTGGAATCCTGCGAGCTGCCCGAATAAACACCTAGCAGACAAGGACCATCTAGTATTGTGAAAGAACTGAGGAGGAAACAACTCCTTCGCTTAGAAACGCACCCAGAGTTCCTCCAGCTTTAAAATCCTTCGATCTATCTTGGAACGACTGGTCGCACTCCTTGCGAATTCATTCTGTGACTTCCCTCCTGGGACATTAACCGGCAAAAAGGCACCGACCTGCTCCTACCGCTGGCGCTCCAGGCGCATCCTGCGCTTTCCTTCGCTCTGGTTCGGGACGTCTGACGCGCAGCAACCGCCAGCGCGCCTATTCACCCGCTGCAGCTGCTGAGTGATCCGCGGCAGCAGTGCGGCAATGCGCATCAGCCGCGTCAGCCGCTGCAGCCGCGAGACGCGCGTGGAGCGCGCCGCCAGCATCCTAGGCCGCTCGACAGGCTGGGCCGCTGGCTGTTGGCGTCCAAGGACAGGCGCTTTACTCCACGATAAGGTCTCAAAGTGTCTTTTCATGAACGAAAGGCTGGGGATATGGATGCTGGGAAGAGCACCATTCATACAGGCATCTTCCCTGCTTCCAAAAATCCCCCGTGAACTACGTTCGAAGTACGTTCATTGCGGCATTCCGGCATTCCGCTGTTCTTGAAAAATTCCAAAGACACGACGAAGAGGGATGGGACGAAGAGGGACGGGACATAAGTTCTGTCCTCTGGTTCCATCCACGCGGCCCTCCGGGAGACAAACTGACTTACTTCCTTCGGCCACTTCTTCATCCTAGGAGATGATGAGATGATCCACTTCTTCAACTTCGCTCGAAATGGTCTCAAGCAGCTGAGCTTTCAACTGAAACAGTCGATGTCGATGTCGCTCGCAGCCACTGTGGTGACATCAAAATCGGAAATCAGGCGGGTGTTTCTTTTTGGTTTTACCGGAAGAAGACTCCTCAGGATCGTGTAGACGAAGCTGAGAAGAGTCGTAGTAGTTGGTTGATCGTTTGCTACAACTCTGCCCCACTCATTTTCCACCCAGACGCACCAAACAGCTCGACTGGTGCCTCAAAACCCTAGGGATTGGTGAGAAGGTCCGGACCCCTGACCACCGGGGTCCGGACCGGTCGCATCTGGGTGGAGCGGGAAGACCCGACGTGGTGCATCGCCGTTCGTGGGCTTGTCTGGTTGCCATTCCGTGGACGAACGAGACCGAGACCTTCTTTTTGACCTACCAAGCATTGGGGGGGGTGAAGGGGAGCCATGCTTTGAAGAGTGTTTCTTGTATCCACTTGTTCAACATGATATCCTCAGCTACTCGCTACTCCGTTTTTCACGAATCGCCAATGTCACCCATCCACTGCGAGTCTTCCAAGTGGCAGAAAACGTGTGATGCTTTCATCCCCACTGGCGATGAAATTGGAGCGCAGGATCTGCTTCCACATCCAGGTCTCCGGCAGCAACGACAACCTGGTTGATTTTACGAGGTCCACACCCCCGTAGGACCCGTGGCCGGGTTTTTGACTCATTTTGGACGGAATCAGTGCGTGAAGGGGTATAGACTGAAACGGAGCACAACGAAACGGTTTAGTGTGATCCAAAAGCACCCAGCGAAATTGCCGTGACAAACAATGCAGGTTTTTCGATGGAACCTGCCCTTGGATCAGCGATGATCAGCAAAGAGATCGAATCCACATGTAGGAACCACATGACGCACAGAGAATGAGAATCCAGGTGTTTAGTGATAGTGGATGTCTCATAGATTCGATCCGCCAGTTTCTTCCGTTCAGTTTGGCCCACCACGTGCCCAAGAAAGCCGCTCCCGAGGGACGATGCTGCCAGGTCCAGCCAGAAGGGAAAGCGACACACGTATTGAGGCTTGGCAATGCTATTCAGCACCAGCTCCAGTAGAAAGAAGGCCAACGTCACGGTCATTGTAACACCCATCCTTGGAGGAACAGCGGCGTTCGCTCAAATGCGACCTCGAAGACATCAGCACTTTGCGCTTGGCGAACGTGTGCAGCACGGTAGTTCACCAACGCATGAACATGCAAGAAATGACTCAAAGCCAAAACGTTCACTCATGACACGTACAGATCGATCATAAGGCTTCCGTTTTGACTGAAAAGGTCTGGGGAGACATACGCGTTTGGAACAGTGGCCATGTCCGGCCACTCAAAACAGGTGATCAGAGCAAGTTCATAGACATTCAGCTTGATCCAATCTGTTGAGCAACGTCCAGCTCCGCATACAGAAACACAAGATCATACCGCGTGTAATCACCGACAGCCCACGATTCTCGGGTTCTTCGTCGGTTCCCACAGCTTCGATGTCTTCGTCGCGACCACCGGGGTGTTTCTGGCCGACTCATGGGCACAGCTTTGCAAGGACTTGTCCCGGATCCAGATCGGACTCACGGGGTCCAAACCGAACAGGAACACGGCCGGAGCGGTCGGACAGGTCGGGTTCGTGTCACCGTGTCCCGCTGTGTCCAGAAGGAACCCGCCCCCCCGCGGTCGCCATCCGAGCAAAACGACCTCTGAAATCCGAGCCCAGTCGCACCACTTCCGACTCCTTGCCACCAAAGATGACATCAAGGTCCGGAGCGTAAAAGGTATACCTGGAAGCTCAAGCTTGGTCATTGACCCATGCGGTGACGCGCTCGGATCTGCAAATGTCTGGCTGCTTGGCGGAAAAAAACCCAAGCATAAACTCAAAAGAACAGAAGACCCGTTGCTGACCCAGCGCCTGAATGGAAAGAAGACCAATTGGTTCCGGGAGCCGAAAGGAGCCGAAGCGACACCGTCTGTCTGAGCATGGTCCAGCGCCTCGCTGGTCCAAACCTCCAAAGCGAACCGAACACAACTTCTACAACTCCCGATCCCATCCCGCCACCGTCAGGATCACCGCGTGAACACGCCCGCACCAGCCGACCCCCGCCATCCCCGCGATCCAGCCGACTCGACCGACTTCGACCGGTGGCACATGGTGAGCAAGAGGAAGAATCCCGTGAAGGCACCAGAGGAGATCAACGCCAACAAGCTCTCCTTGTAGCCCTTCTTCTGCTTCGCCATGTCCTATCAGAAAACCAGGAGACATCATAAAACTGCAATCTTTTGCCGATGAAAAAACCATACAAACGGGTCAACCACCCCAATGTAAAGATGCCCATCCCATGGATTGTCTGATCTATTGTTGAGGACAGAACAGGCGCCCCTCCGACCGAATGGTTAAGCTGGTGTCGGTCCAACTCCATCGGAATGGTGGGGACGGGTCGGGCGACCATGCTGGGTCACATCGACCCTGCGCTTCTGGGCCGTGCGAGAGGCCTCTCGGCCCAGGTCCGCAGGTTCCGTAGGTTCCGCGGTGCCAGGCCTCTTGCACCATGCCCTCTGTACCCCTTCATCCCAACCGCCAAGATGCCACCCCATGCGCCATCCCACCCGCCAGCATAGGCCCCCCTGAATTCCAATGTTGGTGGGAACGCCTGCGTGTATACTTCTGTAGAGCCCCCAGCTGTTTGGGAACAGCGCGTAAGCAAAAAATGTTCTAAAGCACTAGTTCCTGATTCACATGTGCAAAGACGATGGGATATCGGATATATGTCACTGTGACGAGAAAATCCAAGGGTAATATCACGTTTCAAACGCTGTCACTGTTGCATTCATACCCAGACAAGGCGGTGGAGAAAGAAAAGGCCGCGTGGCCAAGCAAAAACAAGGCCCAGACAAGGCGGTGATAAAGGGCCGACAACGTGGACAAGCAGGACAGGCAGACCTGGACGAAGGACAAGAGGAGGACACAGGGTTTGCAACCATGGCGCGAGAAGAGGAGGAGGAGACCAGGAGGACACACAGGGTTCGCAAACGTGGCTACTAGGGGGCAGTGAAACAGAGCACTTCCTGAAAAAGGTGATGGCCCTGATGGAAGAACAACCTCCAACTGCCTCCGACTTGCCACCCCGCAATGCGTTCAAAGTGGCAAACTGGGCAAATCTGGGGAAGTTCCCGTTTTGGGGCACGGGGAGTGCTATTTGGGTTTCAAGGGTTGGTGGGTCGACCGAAAGGTGGCACCTCTGGAAATTCCATCCAGTTCATCTCAAGTTCATGTGCAGGAGTGGGGCTGAGTCTTGCCTCTTCCACCTCACCAACCTCTTGCCTCTCCACGCTTCGTGCAGGAATCCGGCCTCTGCGAAGGATTCGGAGGCCAGCGACATGCGCCGTGCCTTGTCCTGGTGATGCATGTGCCGTGCTTCAGAGAAACAACTCAAGCCCCGCACCAGGCCACAGGACGAAACGATGCATGCAGTATCTACCGATATGACGAAGCGATATGACGAAAGGATGCAATGTATCGGCCAGAACTCAGGAATCTACAATGATGTACATCTTTAGCCTCGCTTCTCGGTTGGAGGCCATCGCTGGTAGGTTGGAGGCCATCGCTATTAGGCCATCGCTACTAGGTTGGAGGCCATTGCTTGTGGGTGGGGGTCTACTCTGCTTCCACCCAGGCTAGCCTGGACCTCAAGCTTCCGTCCCCGGACCCTCGGGGAGTTCCTCGCCTCCTCGAGCTGTGTCTTAGGAGTTCTGTCTCCTTCTCCTTGTGCTTCCTCCCTGAGACGGATGTTTTGTGGCCCGGATCGCCAGCAATTGGTGTCAAACACATTTGAGGGATCTGTGCGCTTGTGTAAGCGCGAAGGCCCTGCAAGCAGGGCCGCTTGGGAAGGGACCAGTCTTGCGGCTTGTGCACCATACCACATGACCACTTTGAGCAAGCGCTTCTCGAGCTGGCAACGATCGATTTGGAGGTGCTCTAGAATTCTCCTTTCAACTGAGTTGGCGGTCGATGCCACCAATAGCTATTCAAATAGCTTGCCTGCACAAAAAAAAGAAAAACGCCATGATCCAGAATCTCGAAGAATCGGGACAAAGATCATCAAAATCTCTGACAAAACACCACGTGGGGGATCCTCAGGACCGGCCTCACATCGCCGAATTGATGTCTTAAGATGGTGTCCAAGCCTTTGATGCCCTTGCCTCGCGCCAGGTGCAGCAACCCGCGGAAGAGGGAGCTCAAGACCCCCCGCGGGTGAACGGGACCACGGGCAGCGCACGTCTCACGAGCCAAAGAGAGCTCCTGATCTCGGTGATGAAAGGTGTGTGAACTGACCAAACCCCAGAATTGCTGGGTCTTGCACTGGCCACTCTAGCTTGAGTCTAGCCGCTCTGGCCACCGTTCCCACACCCATGTCACCCATATGACTCGGACTCGGGCCGTGTCCGTGTCGACTGGACTCGAACGACCCCGGGTGGGCGAGGTTCCTCGCTGTGGGCCAAACACATCTGCCAATCACCCGAAGTGATCACACGAACAAGAAAGCAGTATTTGGGTGTTCCACCGAAGTGTTCCTCTATGGCAACAAATCCCCTCCCACGAGGCAGGGCAGTTCTACCACGATTCAAGAATCCTCTGCACAGTCTGCACTCGGTTTCACCGGCCCCTGCGACGGAGGGCCTTCAGCGGCCTTTCCATTGAACCTGAGTTTCTGGAGTGGCGGAATTCTCAGATCTCCACTGCCAGCGCAACTCCAAAAAAGCTCGAGCGTTTCATGGCAGTTCTACCAGGACCTTCCAACAGGTGGTTTTTGGACAACCTCCTTGGAGGGATTGGCTTACTAAAATGATGCGGTTGTCAGGGAATGGAATGGCTGATATACTAAAATGCTGAAGTGAAAAATAAAGGAGACACTTTTTATCACCAATGTTTGGGGCCAAGTCAAGGTCACACTTTTAATTTTGACGATTTATGAACATGTCTTTTCAAAACGCAACTCTCATAGAGCAAGCGGCAAGAACAATCATAACTCTAAGGAGCTATTTATAGACATCCCTTGGAGGGTCAAAGGGTGGTCTTCAATACCATTATATAACCTCCCTCGGCCTCAACATGCTCAATTTGTCACACCTTTGTTTTCCATATCTGCTGCCAACGTCACCCCATGCATGTGCCGAGTGAAACATGTATGCCGGTAAACATCTTTCTATCACATTGCCCTATATTGGAACAAAATATACTTCTGGATTCACGACCTGTAGACATCCAAATAGATCTAAGACCCCCAAACAGCGAATTGGAGGCCAAATCAATTTGCACTTGCCAAAGTCCAAACAGTGTCGAGAATCACCATCACCATACTCCACTATTTGGAAACAAATGGTTGGAACCCAAATATGACTTGCTTGAGATCCTTTACACATAGGAAGTGGCTGGACTAGCCAAAAAACATCACTTGTTTCTGGTTGGCACATGTTGGCACTGGGTTTCCAGGTTTTGGTGTCTTGCTACGAGTCCTTGGCCTTGGGGCCTTGCGGAGCTGGCGTGTCGAAACGGGTGACCAGCCAAGCAACGGCCAAAACCCCCAAATGTGGAATCTGGATGAAAATATCCCGCAAAAAACATGGATTGCAACAAGAACTCTTCACATGGAGGGCATCAATCAAGACTCAGCATCAGTGGACTGTAGAAGGTGTCTCAACATCCGCCACAAGTAGAGCTACCGCACGCCGCCGCAAGCCGGCTGAGCTTCCGCACAAGTTCGCATCGTCGATCTTGGAGCCTGACTGCACCAGTACGGCGCAGGAGATCTTCCGTTTTCCGCCGCTTGGGGTTCCAGAGTCCAGAGCCAGTCGGTTTGGTTGTGTGTCCCCCAACCAGGTGGAACTCAGGGATCATTCGCCAAAGGACTCTCCCGGTCCTCTAAAACGAACGCACCAACAAGCCCAGCCCGAAAACGAACCCAGCTTTTCCGAAAGAAAACCGGCATCGGCGTACCTTGGCCCAGTTGACCCATTGACCCAGTTGGCACCATTTCGCCGGTGTCCAGCGGGACTGCGGGACTTCGTAGAAGAGACGGGATTCGCACCACCCGAAAGGGT